GTCCATAAAACGACAGGATAAATCGATTTATTTTATAGTAATGCTCGGGATATTCCATTTGTTTTGAAAGTCTCCTACAAGTCTCCTCGTAAGAGCAAGAAAGATTATTATTTTACTGCTACATTTATCTATTTATTTTTCTTAAAATTTATTCTATTTTTCACTTCTAATTTTTTAATTTTTATTATCGGATAAATTGCAATGTTTTAAGTAATACATGTTTCGTCACTTTGAATCTAGAATCGATCTAACAACACTTGACGAATATAATCGTTAATATTTAAATTTAAATATTGTTTATTACTCAAGTTGTTGCATAAAATATAAATGGGAAACCATTTTCTCCTCTAATAAACATCTATCTATTTCTATACATTTACTTACAAAGTTTGCCGGAAATTCTTCTTTTGGAATACTACTTGTAATTACATAAAATACTTGTATTTTCAAAACAGATTATCGTTAAAATTGAAAATTGTTTCTAACGTGATGGTTTAATCGTCTTTTGTCATGTACTGTGCGAAATAGACTACTCGAATAATCTGTTTTACCTAGAACTTTTTTCATTCATCGTTCGTTCCCTTTGCCTCTAAATAATAGAAAAATAATTGCGATACCATCACAGTGGAATAATCATACATGCGAGAGAAACTAACACGGCAGATGGAAAATTGCCTGAAGATAATTTTTGTTCGCAGACCACCGGTTATTTCCCACATTATTACCGAACATTATACGCACGCTGCAGATCGATCCCCTCGACGCTTTTGAAAAATTCGTGCCTCTGTGCTAAATGCATGCATTTTTCTTTCATGTGATTCACCCGATAGTAAAATTTTAAAAAATAGAGATGAAAAAACATTGTATGCTTGCTGCCGATCGATCCCCTCGACGCTTCTAAAAAATTCGTACCTCCGTGTGCTAAACGCACATTTTTCTTCTACGTAATTCACCAATAATAAAAAATTAGAGATGAAAAATCGTATAGACTCTATGAAAACTTTTTCTTCGGGTTTACGCAATTTTTCATCTCTAATTTTTTTCATTTTTGTTATCGGATGAATTACATTGTGTGAATTACATCGATGAAAAATGCATGTCTTTAGTGCGGAGGCAAGAATTTTTCAAAAGCGTTGAGAGTGTCGATCGGCAGTGTGCGTACAATAATGTGGAAAATAACTGGTCTGAGAATAAAAATTGTTTTCATACAGTTTTCCATCTACCTTGATAGATTTTCTTATACGCATGGCGATTATTCCGCTGCAGCGATATTGCAATTATTTTCCTGTTATTTAGAGGCAAAAGGAATGAACGATGAGTGAAAGAATTCCGAGATAAAATACAATATTCGAGTCGTTTTTTTTACACGGTAACAAACAGTGATCAAACCGTTGAGTTATATCAGAAACAAAAAAGCTCGCACTATATAATATGAAATTGGGTCCCGATGAAATTAAATGATTTTCTCATTTGTTACAGTTTATGACCTGCTAAATAAAACATAAGTTTTAGAACAAAAAAATGAACAGTTTTCGTGTTTGATTCGCCTACAGTCGCTGACATCTCACCATAAAATACTCAATAACTTCGAAACGGCTGACTTAAAATGGATAAAATTATAGCGCTTTGAGAAGATCTCATCAAAGAGGGTAAGAAAATAAAAGAAAAAGTGGGGAGGGTCTTGTTTAAAAAATCCGAGTTGACTTTGCCCTGCTTTTGCAACGCCACCCAAAGTCAAATTGATGAAGCCAATGGCTATGCTTTTTAAACTCTACAACTTTTATCTAAAACATTTTTTTTTTAAACTTAAGATGCTATTTCATGCAACAAAGCTTCGCTGGCGAATACCTTACTATTCTGTCGATTCGAGCGAAAATAAATGGCGAGCGAAGCTTCGCTCATAGTTCAATACTATCGAACTATGAGCGAAAAAATGCAGCGAAGTCTAACCTACTACCTGTTTTCTTTAATATTATAAAATATTATATTACTCTAATA